GAGAGTTCAGTGGGGTTGAGTTTTTCAGGAGAAAAAACCCATCTTGATGTCAAAATTGATGATAGCAGGAAAATACATAGTAAATTGTTGAACAGTATACTTTTTTTGAATCAAGGAGGGTTGGAATCTAGAGCACAAGTGGGATAGGAGCACAGACAATGCATTAATAATAATAATAAGAAGAAGGGCCCCCTGGGTGGCTCAGTTGGTTGGGTGTCTGACTTTGGCCCAGGTTGTGATCCCGCTTTGTGGGTTCAAGTCCTGCATCAGGCTCTGTGCTGACAGCTCAGAGACTGGAGCCTGCTTCGGATTCTGTGTCTCCCTCTCTCTGTGCCCCTCCCCCACTCTGTCTCCCTGTCTCCCAAAGATAAATAAACATTAAAAAAATATATTAAAAAAAAGAAAAAGCAGAGTATGTGGATATAGAGGAATTGATAAGAGTGGGAGGTAGTAGAAATTATCTTTTGGTTGCTTTAGTTTTTTAGTGAAATGAAGGATGGACATCAACTGGGAATGATTGTGAGTGAGGAAATTTGAAAAGTGAGAGGAAGTATGAATTATCCTGTAGGAGACTAAAGGAGTGTATTAACTATGGAAATACAATATAATTGGTGGGTAGTAGCATCTAAGGTCTTTTTGAGCTAAGTCATCATAAATTTAAAGTGCATTTAAAGTTGTCATGAATTTAAAGGTCAGCATGGTTGCATATTTCTCTCCAGGCCTGTTGAGCTGCATGGGAATGAATTGGAGTAGACATAGATTTAATAATGGTTGTTTTTCTACCAAATAAGATCAGTGCAGCAGGAAGGGTAAGAAAGTTGAGGGGGTGTGCGCGGAAGTGGTTTATTCTGACCATAAGCAGAATGTATTAAATTAGTCTCGAAAATGTGGGCACAGGGATGCATGTAGGACATCCAGGTGGTGTTTCCAGTTGTTAATTGCAAGGATTGTCCTTGAGCTTAGTATCAAGATCAGGGCTGGAGAGAGGATTTGGGAAAGAAACATCAGACTGTTAAAGCTTAGGAGGGGTGCTGTAGCATTAGAAGAAGATTGAAAGAGGTGAGACCCTGATGGACACCAGAATTTAAGGAGTCAGGTGGAAGAAAGGGTCAGGCAGAAGGAGAACCAGTCAAAACAAAACAGAACTCTAACAAAAGAAAACTCTAGGGACGCCTGGGAGGCTCAGTCGGTTAAGCGTCCGACTTCGGCTCAGGTCATGAACTCACGGTCCATGAGTTCGAGCCCCGCATCAGGCTCTGTGCTGACAGCTCAGAGCCTGGAGCCAGCTTCGGATTCTGTGTCTCCCTCTCTCTGACCCTCCCCCGCTCACACTCTGTCTCTCTCTGTCTCAAAAATAAACGTTAAAAATTTTTTTTTAAAAACAAAACTCTAGCATTAGACCAAAATTTTCTGTCTGCATAAGAAGCTTGAAATCCCTGACAAAGTTTTCTTTTTGTTTGCTTCCCAGCCCCAAATATATATTTGTTCACTTAATTAGACTAGTCTTAGCATATGTGTGTATGTATTTGTAAGTATGTATGTATATGTATATGTGTACATATATACATGGTCATATAGTATCGGACCCATAATTTTGACTTGCTTTGTTAGACTTAAAATTTTAATTTTAATGTTCCTATTTAAGAAAACATTTCAAAACACTTTGTCATTAAAAAAATGGCTAGGAGAGAGTTAATGGATAAGTAGCAGTCCATTATCATTACTGAAGTAAAGAAGCAGGCATCTTACCAATATAGAGTTGGTAAACTAAGTTTTATATTCAAAATATTACCATATATTATCAAATCTATTTTAGATTAAATTAAGCCCTCTAGGGGCGCCTGGGTGGCTCAGTCGGTTAAGCGGCCGACTTCAGCTCAGGTCATGATCTCACGGTCCGTGAGTTCAAGCCCCGCGTCGGGCTCTGTGCTGACAGCTCAGAGCCTGGAGCCTGTTTCAGATTCTGTGTCTCCCTCTCTCTGACCCTCCCCCGTTCATGCTCTGTCTCTCTCTGTCTCAAAAATAAATAAACGTTTAAAAAAAAATTAAAAAAAAAATTAAGCCCTCTATCTGCTTTCCTGACACATTCCTCTTTTATAGGCTGTATCTTATTTTACACCTTAATTATTGAGTGAAAAATAATAGATTTTCATATGGAAAACAAATTACAATAGGAAAATATGGTATGATGGGAATGCAAGCTGGTGCAGCCACTCTGGAAAACAGTATGGAGGAAGTTCCTCAAAAAACTAAAAATAGAACTACCCTACGACCCAGCAATTGCACTACTAGGTATTTATCCAAGGGATACAGGGGTGCTGTTTAGAAGGGACGCATGCACCCCAGTGTTTACAGCAGCACTATCGACAATAGCTGAAGTATGGAAAGAGCCCAAATGTCCGTCGATGGATGAATGGATAAAGAAGGTGTGGCATATATATACAATGGAGTATTGCTCGGCAATCAAAAATAATGAAATCTTGCCATTTGCCACTACATGGATAGAACTGGAGGGTATTATGCTGAGTGAAATTAGTCAGAGAAAGACAAAAATCATGACTTCACTCATATGAGGACTTTAAGAGATAAAATAAATGAACCTAAGGGAAGGGAAACATAATATAAAAACAGGGAGGGGGACAGAACAGAAGAGACTCATAAATATGGAGAACAAACAGGGTTACGGGAGGGGTTGTGGGAGGGGAGATGGGCTAAATGGGTAAAGGTCACTAAGGAATCTACTCCTGAAATCATTGTTGCACTATATGCTTAAAAAAATAAAATAAAATAAAATAAAATAAGGAAAAATATAGTATGATACAAGAGTTAATTAGGGCCCTGTTTTAAAGAATGACATATTTAGCGAAAATGTTTATAAATTTCCATTTGGATTCTACATTTAAATTCACCTCTAAAAATAAAAATAGTAAATAAATTATATATCATATTTTATTATTTCAAATATTTAACAATTTAGAAATATTTAAAAGCGCTTTGAAAATGCAATAGATTGAATCAGTCTAAATTATAGTTTTAAAATATTCTTTTTTTTTTTTTTTTTTTCCCTTTGTGAAGTACTTCAAATGATATAGTCACTTAAATAGCTGCATTATTCAGGTTGATTATAGGCTGCAGCTTAAATGATACCTGGTTAGGGATAATAAAGTGAATGTAGGTATGTAACATATGTTTCTGTGACCCAGTTTAGAACTAAGTATTGGCATGTAATATAAATTCAGGATTGTATTTCATAGAAGTATGGTGGTAAGAAGAGTTCCTTTGATTAAAAAAAAAACAACAAAGAACTGTAATTTAACAGCAGGATACAGTATTTCAACATTCTAAATTTGTCTGAAAGAAAAAAAATCAGTCTACACCTTTTTAACATTCCAATTTTAATTTTATTTCAGATTCAACTGTCCTTTAAGTTGAATGAGAAACAAGTAGTCTCAGGAAAAAGTTCATTTTATTAGTGAAATTTACCTCAAGTGGTATGAAGTAAAGTGTAGCACAAAGTATCATTGTTTGGTTCTGGCACATGGTTCTATAACTCTCTCCTTTACATTGTTATTTTTTTTTCTTTTGTATTTATGTATGTATGTAATCACTATAACCAGTGTGGGTCCTGAACTCATGACCCCAAAATCGAGAGTCTCATGCTCTATTTACGACTAAACCAGCTAGATGCCCCTTCCTTGTTATTTTACAAAAATTTTGGAAACAAACTTGGACCAACAGAGCATTGTAGTTCTTTTCTGTTTGGAGTTTCTACTAATGGAGCTGCTGTACACGACATATCTAAAACATGTTACTGTAATTAATACTAAGTATTTCTCTTTGATAACCTACTTAGTTTTTAAAAAGCATAAATTCTGATATGTATTCTTAATTTAAAAGCTGTCTTTGCTAAGTATTTCTAGTATTCCTGATAAGAAAAAATAGAAAGTCATACTTCAAGGATCCTATTCAGTTATCCAACTTCACAAGGTGCAATGTTTTCTTGCATATTTAACATAGAGATGGATCAGTTTTCCAGAAACAAATGCCATATTGGACCCATGATTATATTCTTAGAAATTCTTTGTCTGATAAATAGAGGACGAGTAGATAAATGTTGGAGATGGAAGGTCCCAAAACTTGGTCTTTCTATTCTTACTGAAATGGTGGATAGAACTAAATATGGCTGAAAAAAAAAAAATATTTCACCTATTTTCCAAACTTATTTTTATCTTGTATACAAGGTGAATTGTCATACATTTTAGAGAAAACGAAAATCATACTTGTGCAGAACTATTATAAAGAAATAAAAAAACCAAACAAAACCAGAATGTAAGGTTAGTACCTACTACAGACAGACTGGTCAGTTTACCTTTCGACATGCTGATAAAATTGTTTTATTTGAATATAACTTTACTGTTAATAGCTACATCTGATATACAGCAATAACAATATGTTTTCATAGAGTATTAATTTTTCCTAAAACAGCACCCCCTGGCTTCTATTGGAAAATTGCAAAATTTTCTCCCAAATCATATAAATGGACATGCACTAAACAAGATTATTTAATGATATCAGAAAACAATGTGCGATTACATGTCTTAATAAGAAATCCTTCCTGAGGTGCTAACAATGAACATAATTTTTATATTTTCTGCTTATATTTTCTTATTTTGCATATTCATTTATTCAGTAAATATGTATTGAATGTTTACTTTGTACTAAACAATATTCGAACAGTGAAAAAAATACATAGATTATCTTGGAGCTTTCATTCGGCTTGGGAGAGACACACAATAAACAGTAACATAATAAATAAGCAAATTGTTAGAATTTAAGTGCTATGGAGAAAAAAGAAGGGGAAATAGGGATTGTGGTGCTGAGGGTGGAGGCAAGTTTCAGTATTCTGTGAGAAAATCAGAATGGGACTCGCTGTTAAATATGATAAACCTAATAAAATGAAAATTAAGCAAATAGTTAACACGGTATTTTTCTTCTTTCAGCTGGAACAGTCAAATGATTTCAGTTCGTGAAGCCAAAGCCATTCCCAGGCCTGATGGTATTGAATGGAGGAATAAATACATCTGTGTCGAAGGTAGCTTTCCCACAACTACTACTTTACCACCCATTTATCACCATGGTACTGAGAGAATTACTTGAATAATTTCAGTTTGTATTTCAGTTAAAATTAATACATTCATATTCTGGCTTACAAGTCTTTTAGTTATAAAATTTTCTTTTTTTTCTTCCAACTTTTTATTTAAATTGCAGTTAACATACAGTGTAATATTAGCTTTAAGTGTAGAATTTGGTGATTCAGTACTTACATACACCATGCAGTGCCCATCACAAGTGCCCTCCTTAATCCTCATCACCTATTTAATCCATCCCCCCACTCTCCTCCCCTATGGTAGCCATCAGTTTGTTCTCTGTAGTTAAGAGTGTGTTTTTTGGTTTGCCTCCCTTTGTCCCCCTCTGTTTGTTTGTTTTGTTTCTTAAATTCCACATATAAGTGAAATCATATGGCATTTGTCTTTCTCTGACTTCACTTAGCTTAATACTCTCTAGCTCCATCCACGTTGTTGCAAATGACAAGATTTCATTCTTTTTTATGGCTGAGTGTTTTCATTGAATTTTAAAAAATTAATTCTTTAGCTGTAAAAAATAGTAAATATGAATTTAGGCGTTTAATATTCCAGTTGGTAATATTTGAGCAGTCTTTATTCATCCCTCCTGCTTGTAGGTGATTGAAATTTAATTTCATGACTTGAAGGTGGAAGAAAATATTATCTTCATGTGATGATTCTTATACTGAGATAAAATGAGTTCTTTTATAGCTAAAATATCGATACTTAAGGCAAGCTAGGTTTTTATGAATAGTATTTATTTTACTTTAAAAATCGAATGCTCTGAAGATAATCTGTTCTCTAAAATTAATTTACATGTTGTTGAATATTTCTTTGAGTTGGTGGGAAATTGACTTCAAGAGGCAAAATTACTCTCACAGATTCCAAGTTGAAGACTTTTGTAAATCTTGAGGTAAAAAAGAATGTGTTAAGTGTTAAGTGCAGTGTTTGTAGGAAAACATCAAATTTAGAATATTTTATTCTTGGATTATATGCAACATCTTAAGCGTCTTTGAATATGAAATTTAATTTCCTGCTTTGGTGGTTGGTTAAATTGCATAGTGGGTGTGTATTATTTTAGTTGTGTTCTTTTGAATATTAAAAACTGTTGTGAAGTGCTGTGTATGATGTGATCCGGTAGCTTGGCGTAAGGCATTACTCTATTTTTAAAAAAAAGCACAGGCGTTCCTCGGATATATTGTGGGTTCAGTTCCAGACCACCGCAATAAAGCAAATATCACAATAAAGTGAGTCAAATGAAGTTTTTGGTTTCCTGGTCATATGAAAGTTACGTTTACCCTATATTGTAGTCTATGAGGTGTGAATAGTATTACGTCTAAAAGAACAGTATACGGGGTGGCTCAGTCAAGCGTCCGACTCTTGATTTCGGCTCAGGTCCTGATCTCATGGATTTTAAGTTTGAGCTCCACATCAGGCTCTATGCTGACAGTACAGGCCTGCCTGGGATTCTCTGTCTCCCTCTCTCTGCCCCTTGCCCGTTCATGCTCTCTCTCAAAATAAATAAGATATTAAAAAAAAAGAAAGAAAGAAAAATGTACATACCTTAATTTAAAAAGACTGTTGCTAAAAAATGCTAACCATTGTGTGAGATTTCAGCAAGTCATAATCTTTCTGCTGGTGGAGGATCTTGTCTTGATGTTGATGGCTACTGACTAATCAGGATGCTGATTGCTGAAGATTGAGGTGGCTGTGGCAATTTCTTAAAATGAGACAGTGAAGTTTGCTGCGTTGATTGACTTTTCACAAATGATTTCTCTATAGCATGTGAGAGCATTTTACTCACAGTATTTCTTTGAAAATTGGAGTCAGTCCTTTCAAACCCTGCTCTATTTTTTCAACTAAGTTTATGTAACATTAAATCCTTTGATGACATTTCAGCATCTTCACCAGGAGTAAATTCCATCTGAAGAAACCATTTTTTTTGCTCATCTATAAGAGCAAGTCCTTATCCATTCAGGTTTTATCATGAGATTGTGGCAAAAGTCATTCACGTCTTCAGGCTTCACTTCTTCTTTTTTTAATGTTTGTTTATTTTTGAGAGCGCAAGTGGGAAAGAGCAGAGAAAGGGGGACAGAGGATCTGACGCAGGCTCTGCGCTGACAACAGTGTTCAGGCTCCACTTTTAATTCTACTTCTCTCACTCTTTCTACATCTGCAGTTACTTTTTCCACTGAAGTCTTGAACCTCTCAAAGTCATTCATGAGGGCTGGAATCAGCTTCTTCCAAACTCCCATTAATGCTGATATTTTCACCTCTTCCCATGAATCACAAATGTCCTTACTGGCATGTAGAATGGTGAATCCTTTCCGGAAGGTTTTTCAATGGACTTTGCCAAGATCCATATAGGAATCACTGTCTTATAGCCTTACAAAATATATTTCTTAAATAATGAAACTTGAAAGTCGAAATCACTTCTTGATCCATGGGCTGCAGAATGGATGTTGTGTTAGCAGACGTGAAAACAACAATTTTTTTTACATCTTCATCAGAACTCTTGGGTGACCAGGTACATTGTCAATAAGCAGTCATATTTTGAAAGGAATTTTTTTTCTGAACAGTATGTCTTAAAAGGTGGCTTAAAATAATTTAGTAAACTGTTGTAGACAGATGTGCTGCGATCTAGGCTTTGTTGCTCCATTTATAGAACACAGGCATAGTAGATTTAACATAATTCTTAAGGGCCCTAGGATTTTCAGAATGGTAAATGAACATTGGCTTCAACTTAAAGTTATCAGCTACATTAGCCCCCGACAGGAGAGTCCTCTTATCCTTAAGCTTTGAAGCCAGGCATTGACTTCTTTCTAGTTATGAAAATCCTAGATGGCATCTTCTTCCAGTATAAGGCTGTTTCATTTACTTGGAAAATCTGTTGTTTACGGTAGGCATCTTCACGAATTATCTTAGCTACATCTTCTGAATACATTTCTGTGGCTTCCACATCAGCGCTTGCTCCTTCACCTTGCACTTTTATGTTATGGAGGTGGCTTCTTTCCTTAAACCTCATGAACAAACCTGTGCTAGCTTCAGACTTACCTTCTGCAGCTTTCTCACCTCTCTCAGGCTTTGTAGAATTGGAGAGAGTTAGGGCCTTGCTCTGAATTAGATTTTGGCTTAAGAGAATGTTGTGGCTATTTGGTCTTCTGTCCAGACCACTAAAATTTTTTCCGTATCAGCAGTAAGACTTTGACTTTCATGTTCATATGCTCACAGGAATGGCTCTTTTCATTTCCCTAAAGAACTTCTTTGCATTCACAACTTCGCGTTCATTCCAAGAGGCTTAGCTTTTGGCCTGTCTTGGTGTTCAGCATGCCTTCTTCACCAAGCTCAATCATTTCTAGCTTTTGATTTAAAGTGAAAACTGTGTGGCTCTTTCTTTCACTTCACTTGAATACTTTGAGGCCATCATGGGGTTATTTTTTGGCCTGAGTTCAATATTGATGTGTCTCAGGGAAAATAGGAAGGCCCAAGGAAAGGGAGAGAGACAGGGCAATGGCCAGTGGGTGGAGCAGTCAGAACACACACAGCATTTACAAAGTTTGCCTTCCTATATGGGTGTGGTCGTGGTGCCCCCTAAAAATTCCAATAGCAACATCAAAGAGCACTGATCACAGATCACTATAACAAGTATAATGATAAAAAGTTTGAAATAGGGGCGCCTGGGTGGCTCAGTCGGTTGGGCGTCCGACTTTGGCTCAGGTCACTATCTCGCGGTCCGTGAGTTCGAGCCCCGCGTCGGGCTCTGGGCTGACAGCTCAGAGCCTGGAGCCTGTTTCAGATTCTGTGTCTCCCTCTCTCTCTCTGCCCCTCCCCCGTTCATGCTCTGTCTCTCTCTGTCTCAAAAATAAATAAACGTTAAAAAAAAAATTAAAAAAAAAAAAAAAGTTTGAAATATTGTGAGAATTGCCAAAATGTGACAGAGACAACAAAGTGAGCAAATGCTGTTGGAAAAATGCCACCAGTAGACTTGTTCACAGGGTTGCCACAAAAAACACAGTATCTGTGAAGCACAATAAAGTGAAGTGCAATAAAACAAGGTATGCTTGTACCGTGACAATAAACTCCTTTTAAAAGTAGCCTTTCTAAACAATCAAAAAATGTACATACAAAAGGAGTGTTTTAAAATTATGGGCCTGCTTAGATTATATGACAAATCTAGAGTTAACCTCTTCATCAGATTTTCTATTCTTCCACACTTTTTCCAGGTCTTTCCCCTCTGTTCCATTTCTTCTTTCTAGCCACTTGATTCTCTTTCCCTTTAGTCATTTTCTTTCAGCTTTAGAGCATACATACGTCTTCTCATCGTTGAAAAATGCTCTTGATTGGTACTGGCTCTTGTAATTAGTTTTTGTGGTTTTTTTTTTTTTTCCTTTTTCAGTGCCAGAATTCTTAAACTAGTAATTTTTACCTACTCCTGGCATTATTTCGACTATCCCATCTCATTTCTAATGCCTTTAGTTATCTTCCTTTTCTCACTAGTATCCTCAATTTCCTTGTCCTCTCATATAGACAGTTTCCTTATCGCTACATATGGACTCTTCTCTCTTATCTTGTGGGGGAAGGGTTAGTGGGGTGGAGGTGAATATGTGGAAGGTAACATTGGAGACGCACACACACACACACACACACACACCTTTCCTTTGTGTTCTTCCTGTCTTCTATACTTGCTCTCCTGTTTCTCTTCTTTCACTGCTAAATTTCCCCTACAAATTACTGTTCTCACTGTATCTTTTTCTAAACCGTTAAACTGTCCACTCACACCATAACTTTGTACTGTTTTCCATCCTTATGAGTATTAAACTTCTAGTTTCAAAGGTATTGACCTTTCCTCTGCTGGATAAATCAGTGGTCTTTTAAATTAAATTTAAAATTACCTTTCTGTGATATTTGACATTGACCACCTTTTTTGTGTATAGTGTTTTATTCCTTTTGATAATACTTTGTTCTTTATTTTTAGTTCTCTAAGGGTAGGGGATAGGTCTTTGACCCTTTGTCATTCTTCAGAAATCTTATTTTTATAACTTAGACTTAAAACATACCTCTGCTGATGACTTTGTTTTTACTTGTCCTGTCACTTGAATTCTGTCTACCTTATTAGATGGTTCACAGGTATATAAAACTTTCTTATACAGATATCTAATTAGGATTCACAATGTGCACTTGCTATTTCATAGGTTAAAAACTGTCAAATATTGGCTCTTTCATATAGTTCAACCTAATATAGAAACCAAAATTCTCATTTTAATAATTTCTTGTTTATATGTGCATTTGACACTCTAGAACCTTTTGATGGAACAAATACGGCCAGAGCTGTGCATGAAAAGCAGAAATTTGACATGATCAAGGATCAATTTTTAAAGGTAAACAGTGTATGAGATTAACTCTAGAAACCTTAGTGGACTAGTATGCTTTGAAAATGGAAAAAAAAATCTAATAGGACAGAGTAGCCGTGGTTCCTGTGTTATGAAGCTGTTAATGTAGCACAATAGAGAATTCATGACTTGCTAGATACACTTTTCCTACAGAGAAATCGAACTCTGTGTTCATTTACATGGCTTTCATTTTCATGGAAGTAAGCATCAAAATGAGTGAATAAAACCTAACTGACTCCTTTCTGTCCTTGAAATATCAAGGAACTACTATAGCTTTAGAAGAAAGCTAATGTTTGTTCTATGATTTTTCTTCTGTATACCCCATTGTAACAAGGAATTCGAGCACCATTTTATCTTTGTTTATATTTTGAGAAATTAAAAAAATCAATGTGTATATTTGTGTACACACACATTATATATAAACCTCAGTGATATATATATAAAATATTGTTTATTCCTTCACTCTTCAGTCCATAATATGAATTTATTCATCGGTGATTTTGCTAGGTGTGGTTTCTTTCCTCAAGGAGTTCGAAGTACTGTGTAAAAACACATTGATGTAAATATATACTATGAGACAGATAGGAGAGAATGCCTCATTAAAGAAAAAAAGATCAGCAAACTGTGAAGGTCATTTTAGAGGAATACTTTTTCATTAGACATACAAGTAGACTTTATTTTGATGATAATTAAAAATGTGAGTATGTCATATTACAAGCTGTCTTTCACATTAGGTCCTCTTTTTATCAACCAGAATAGAAAATTTAAAATTAATAGAATTCTGCAGGGCAAAACAAATATCCAAGAGGAAATATTTAGGTCTATCAGATTAAACTGAGAATTCAAAAACAGCATTGCTACATTGTGGTTTTTCTTGATGCCTGAACTTTCATTTAGGATTGTTCAGCTATAAAACCAATACTTTTAGTCAGTTGAACAACTGAAGTAAGAATAAACCAGATATACAGTCACTGAGTAGTGAGCCAAATCTGTAGCCTGTGAATAAGAATTTGTTTTTTTTCTTTTTGATAAGTTCTGTGTGCTCTTCTTTTTCTGAAGCACATGAAAGTGGTTTATTAGAGATTTACTCTCTGCTTTGTAGTACTATTTTTAATTGGAAAAGCTTATCGATGCAAACTAGTCAACCAAATAATTGAAATAATCTCACACTCTCTCAAACCCCAAAGGTTTTGTCTTAATTACTTTGCTATTTTAGATGAAATTATTTAAGTCTGTGAGTAAATGTTAATATTGTCATTTGTATCTTTTTGTACCACCTATGTGTCTGTCCCTTTCTTTATTAATAAATTGGAACCACACAGGTATAGGGTTTTTAAATAACATTTTCTTTTCTGACAGCAGAAAAAAGACATTTACTATATTAAAAACTTGGGAGATAAAAACACATACACACACACACACACACACACACACACACACACACACACACACACACACACAAAATCACCCCAAATTTTACCTCCTAGAGAGAACCACTGTTAACATTCTAATAACTCTCTTTTCAGTCTTTTGTTCCACTTATATTTTATGTTTTAAGAATTATTTTTTTCTTTTTCTCCCAGTCATGGCACAGATTGAAAAACAAAAGAGATTTGAACAGTATACTACCTTTAAGAGCTGCTATCCTGAAAAGATAACTGGCTTCTATATCTTAATAAATTCTTCTGAGAAATAAAGAACAATAGTAACACCATAATGCATTTTGTTTACCTCCATCATGGTTTCTTTTTAACTGTTCTTGTTTTCATGTTTTATTTTTAAGAGGACATACTTATATAAAGATTGCATATTTTATTATGACATTTCCTAATAAAACCCTTTGATTTAAAGATGTATTTTTGAAAATGTTTACATTGATTCGTAATATTATGGCATGGATTTTCAAGAGATCAGATAAAATATTTTTGGGGGAATTATCTGAACAAATAAAAGGTTTTTGATATAACTTCAATTAATTATACCACATGCTAATACTGAAGGGATGTGTGGAATTTTGGAAAGGGACTGATTCACACATACTTAACATATAACGTACAGTATATAGTTTGTTGCCCGTCTGTTCTGGTAAAGTGAAGATTCAAGCCAGTTATTCAGTTACTTGAAACAAAATGAAATCTGTAATTTCACTGAAATCACTGCAGAGGCATGAAATACTGGACAATTGCCTTAAGTCTTCACTTGACTCTCTGGGATAGACTGAGGCTTTGGGTGTGTCTATATTAGCATTTCATTAGTACCTCACATGCTTTTGATGTACTCTTGAGATTGCTTTAAATTTTTGTTGAAAACAGTACATTTTGCACTGTAGTAATATGAGCACCCTGTATTGTTTAGAGGTTAGTAAGTTGTTTTAAAGAATTAGTTCGTTGTAGATTTTTGAAAAGATGAAGTCCCCTGTGCTTTATGATAGTTCAGTGCAATGTGCACTTTTACTTTATTTCACGTTTTCCTGCTTTTATTTTCCCTGTAACATGAAGCAACAGAAACTGAAAGATCAAAGTTGAGATTATATCCTATTGACAGTATCAGAGTTTGTCTGTGTACAAGTGTAGGATTGTAATCTAAACTGGAATTTTTAGGCAGTAAGCCACTATAAAATGTTTTAGGTAAGACAAAATTATTATAAATAAAAGCTTAATGTTTGTAAAGATATCTTTTTTAGTATTTTTTTTCCATATGAAGAAGTAGTGGTGGCTGCTAAAAAAAACCTACAGTGTTTATTAAGATTGATTATGGTTTATGTAAATATTTGTAAATTGGTCAGTGCCTGTACATTTAAATATGAAGAGTAATCTTGAAAACAATTTTAACTTTTTCAGAAGGACTGTGTACAACTTCTTTGAGACCTGCTGTAGCACAGTTTGTACCTCTAATGTATTTGAGTTTTTTGCAGACCAATTCAAATGCTAAGACTTTTGCTTTTCTTTGACTTGTAAAGGTGCAGATTTTCATTTCTTCTTTAAGTTTAAATTTTTGTATGATGTCAAATGGAATAAAGTTTATATATGGAAATTGTTGATGTGTTGATTTTTTTCTGTGTGAGGCTTTACTTATGAGGTGAGGCTGTAGTTATCATCTAGAACTGAGCTGAATCTAATTTTTATGCTTGATAACTTAGGTTATACAGAAAATCTCAGAACGGAGATCATATTTGGTTAAGCCAGCTAAGCACATCAACACCCTATTTCTGTGACATTATTTAGAATAAAGCTTTCCACATAGGTGAATTTTTTAGATTACTGATGTTTTCACACTTTTGAAGCAATTAAGCTTTACAGATCAATTCTTTTTCTTGGGAAGTTTCCTAAAATATACACTGTGCAACTCTTCTTTATTAGAATGTATTGAACATAATATTTTGGTGATGACTGGGCACCATTAAAAACAGTAAAAAATAGTCCTCATGCTCTGTGGTAATACTGTATAGCTCTCAGGGATGGGGAAGTGTGTAGGGAGTTCTGCCTTTATAGTATTAGGACATTTCCTAAGAAAGCCCTAGCGTTTACCATGGTATGGACTCTTCCACTGCCACTGTTTTCTCAGCTCTCAGTGCCATACCCCATCAACCCCATCTTACTGCTGCTACTTTTTAACTATCTTGCTACAACAAATGCATAAAGAAGTTAATAAACTTGTACCCATTTCTAAGTCATTAGACTGAAACCTAAAATTATGTATCTTGTGGTAGCCAAATATGTCAAATAAGTGGCTGTTAATATATGAGGAAATTTTTTAGACTTTTAAATTATTTTCAGTTTGACTTACTTGTGTGGTGAATAATACATTCTTTTATTTTCTGTTTGTATTGATCTGGCCATTTCTATATGTTTGCATGTATCATTAAGAAAATAGTGTTAGGAAGTTAAAAATGTGCAGTCTGTACTGCAGCCAAGTTTTGGGTTGGTTTGAACTGGAATCTTTGCAAATAAATCTTGTTGGCTTTAGTTAGTGTTCCCAAGAAATGTTGAGTGAAATGCAAGGAATATACAGTGGCTTTCTATACTTTTGATTAGTGTTTAACAGATTCCCACAACTGTGATTGAATGCTTTTTGTCCTAGGTGAGCAGTCATTTGGGATTACTAGTTGGAAAAGCCTGGCTCATGTTAGGATAATTATTGCTGATGTTAAACCTGGTTTAGTGAACCGTGGAAGACTAGACTCTTGTCTCTTCCCTTCTCACACATACCAGCTGGTAATTCTGAACTATCTGCAGTTTTTTGCTCACAGACTTAATGTACACCTATAATCTAGTGTAACTGGTGAATACAACCTAACTTATGTTCATCATATTTAACAACTCTGTGAACAGAATTTGTGGTAATTAAAAATACATGTCTATTTTAGCCATAAAATCATCCTCATGAAAAGAAGAATATGTATTATAAAGATCTCTCTACCTGTTCTATGTACTGAGCAGGTCTGGTCCTGTTCTCTTCAGGGGATATTCATTAAGCATCTACTATGTGTTAAGTACTTTGCTTCCTTCTGGGCCCGTAAGAGATGGGGATGGTGGGGAAAAAAATGAGTAACAAATTTACGAAATGTACAGAGGGAAACAGACACATGATTTGGATACAGGATTGAATTTAAGCATTTCAGAGAAAGGTAGTGATCTTGAATGGTGAGTCACCAGGTATATAAAGGTGGGAAGAACCTTTCAGGCAGAAGGAACTGTGTAAATAAGGGTACAGTGGTGTGGCTTAATAAATGTTGAGAATCGTGACTTCTAAAGAAGAAACCAGACAGATGTGGGCTGTTGTTATCCAGCATTCATCTTCTCGAGGAGCTTGAGCTTTCGTCCTTGAGCACAGGGACGCCATTGAGTTTTAAGCATGGGCATGACATGATCCAGCCAAAGGTCTAGGGTGTTTGGGTTGAGTTTCAGACAAAACTTAGACGTTGACCAAAGTGGGGAAAATTATTTCTCTTCAAAGTTATTAGGGGAGATCATGTCCCGACTGAACAGGCTAGGGGCCACGGGGTAAGAGAATACACAATTCATCTGTAAACATAAAAGGAGCCAATACTGAAAGAACAACGGTTTAAAACTGGGCTTATGAAAAGGGCAGACTTAGCTGCTTCCCCCTGGATCACTTACACTGGGCAGGAGGCCTTGAGCAAGCCAGCTTCCCAAACTCTTCTGAGCCTCAGGTTTCTGATCTAGAACACCAGCATTGCAGTTAAACGTACCACCGCAGAATCGTGAGGGGATAATGAAAGCTAGACCCTTCACAGTGTGCCTGAACTAGCAACGGCTCTGCTCAGGAAGGAGTAGTTATTTGGTTGGGATGAAAGGTTTACCAAGAAGTTCTGTGCCAAACACACGGCCTACCAAACCCACACTGGGGGAAAGAGAGGCGGGGCTGGGTGCCTATTCTCCTTTCAGCAACCTGGTGCAGCTGAAGCCTGTCCCCCTCGGAGTGATGATCGCTGCTGGCCCAAAGGGCCGCCTGGGATCCGCCTAAACGGGTGGGGAGGGCTGGGGGGCGGGGGGAAGTTGGCAGACGCGGGGGAAGAGGAGAAGCTGAGCCCGGGCCCCAGGAGCTCGATGGCGAAACTTTGACGCCTTCTATTTAAAGTCGCGGGGCCAGCCCGCCCCCCGGGCCGGGAACCCGAGCCGCGCGCCGGGGCAGGGCCGAGCCGGGCCGGGGCCAGAGGCGCAGTCAGAGGGAGAACACCAGGCGCGCGCGGGCGGCTCCGGCTCCAGCTCCGGCTCCGGCCCGGCAGAGGCACGATGGCGAGCAGCGACAGCAACCACGCCGCGGAGAGCCCCTTCGGCTCCGACGGGGACGAGGAGGCGACCCGAAGGCCGGAGAGCGACGAGGAAGAGGAGGACGAGGAGGACGAGACGGCCGCCGAGTCGGAGGAGGAGCCGGACGCCAGGTAGCGTGCGCCCCTCTCCTGAGGCCGCAGCCCGAGCGCGGGCCCGGCCGAGGGCCTGGAGGTGCGGCCGCGAGGGCAGGTGCTTCGCAGGCCGACTCCGCACGCTTCCCTTTTCTTTCTCTGCGCTAGAGTTCGTTTCCTCCGAGCTCAGCACTTTGTCTCAGGGCGTGCTGCCGTGGTAAGGAACTTGAAGGTGAAGGTGCTTGCTGTCAGCTGGAGTGACAGGCCCGCCTGCAGCGGCAAAGTTCACGACCGCCCCCCTTCCCTCCTTCACTCCCCCCTCCCTCCCAGCAACTTGTGACTTGCTGCTCTTGTTTATTCCCGGGGATTTACTTAGGGTCCTGCCTGACCACAGAATGTGCTGAAACGCTCATGTTTGGCCCAAGGCTTAGGAACAATCGTGAAAGCCCGAGCTAGAAGAGAAGGGGGTACGGAGTGGGGGTGGAGGCGGAGAAGGCTGCTCTGGAACCTTCAGATAACCGGAGGTCTCTTGGAAGCCAGCCCTGGACCAGATCGCTATGAGAGGGCTTTAATTTGGTACAAAGGCTTACAAATTCTTCGGACGAAAGGAGCCTGACTTTCAATAACCCCTCTTCTTAAAATCGTGCTTTCCCCCCACTATGGTTCCAAATATCGTTTCAATGAATGTGATTGCAATTAGGTAATATTGTATAAAAATATGGGTCTCCTTCTACTTCCATCTCCCTCCCTCTCTTCATGTACGTCCTAAAATGAGAACATTAGAAATCACCAGGGAGAGAGTCGTGTTTTGTTTGCTTGTTTTGGTTTTTTGTTTTGTCAGTCAGTCATGTCCTTTCCGAAATCTATTAATATCAGTAGAAAGGCTCTGTAGGTGACAGATCGATGTGCAACATTTCAGAATGCCCCTCTCAAAGTTAGAAGTTCTGTCCAACCAAAGCCCACAGAGCTGAAGTTGAAGTAGCCCACAGAGTAGCACTGATTAAGCTGAATGGTCAGTCAGATAAGAAGACTGGAATGTAGGTTACATATTGACCAAGCAATTGCCGAGTGGGAAGCAGGCACAGTCCCTGCCCTCAAGGACTTTATGGAAGAAATTAGGGAGCAATATGGGGAATATGAGTCTATGAGCTAAAGAAATGAGAGGGGCAGGGGGGACAGACCGTGCATACTGTGGAAGCTCAGAGGAGAGTATGTAGATGTGTGACTGCCTTGAGAGGAAGTGGGTATGACCTGGGCCTTAGAGAGTAAGCAAAAGATGCAGAAAGGAGAGGCAGAAGAGAAGGCACCTGCGGGAAATGGAGGAGGGAGTAGGCACCGGTGATTCCCGGGCAATACTGAGAAGGGAAATCCGTCAATCTCAGCCTTTAGAACCTTTTCCCCTAAGTGGCATTGGGGATCCTTATATCTTAGCCCAACCAGAATTTACCACCTAGAGAATTTGAAAACTCCAATGTGAGCAGCTGACAATGATTCCAAACACCACGCTGGGATTCCTTTGCCTTTTTCAGGTAAAGATAGGATTTTTGGGTAAAGATAGGATTTATCTGCAGTAAGTTTCGGCCTGCTCTGACTGCAGGTGGTCAGGTGGACACCAAGGCCAGCGTCGGGATTAGTAGAGTGAGGGAAACAGGAGGAAATGGGCAGGTGGCTGGGCGCTGAGGCTTTGTAAACCATCACACTTTTACATTTTGGATTTGATAGCGTGAGTAACAAGAAATCAGTAATTCTGAGCAAGATTTAGCTAAGATTGGAAACACATTGGAGTTAGGGGAAGGTTACCGACAGCAGATTGGCAGATTGGAAAGTTGGTTTTCGGGAGGGCTCCGATCAGAGAGACAGTAGCAAAGAGGAAGAAAGGTGTGTAGAGATTGAATCATGGTGAGGGCCAAGGGAAAGGAGATGGCAGGGAGGCTAAAGGTAGAGAAGTGTCAGTGGGCAGGACCTCCTGGGGGAACTGAGAGTCCTGGACTTTTTACTATCTTGAAGTATTGTTAGAAATCAAACCATTTTGTTGTGTGTACGTTTACAAATATGGCCTAAAGTTCTTTTTCTTCTGAGGCTAGAGGTGAGGACTTGGAATATTCTGTAAAGGATGGGAGGTAAGAATGATGTCTCATTGTTCTTCACCCCTTCCTCTTGCCTCTTCTGCCAAAGATTTACAATTATGAGAGGGTCTACTCACTCTGTGCCAGGCTTAGTGCTAAGTGTTTACGTATGTTTTGTCATTTTAAACCCTCCCAGCAACGCGATGAGATGACTGTCCTTTTATAGATGAGGAAACTGAGGCTTTGTATGATTTCCTGAGGGTATAAGGCAAGTCATTATAAGAACCAGGATGTGAGCCTGGGTGTTTCCTCCAAGCCACTGCTGGACTTTCACCACCTGCCTTCCTTTGCAGGACAGACCTTTATGTAGGTGAGCCTGGAATGGCTCCAACTAGCTTCTGCCTTGAAAAATTCATAGAGCAAAAGGAAAGACCTCATCTTTTTGCATAATAGTGGAAATTTTCCCCCTTCGTGAATGGAAAGGTTGTTTGCATTTTCTTGGAGGTCAGAACCTTTCTCAGAAGTTAGATTACAAACTGATTTTTTTTTAATTAAGAGGCACATAATAGTAAATAAATGGAAATAGCCTAATAGTAACAGAATGACTATTACATCTACTTTATGTGTTATTATTAAGCCATTATTAAAATGCTATTTATTATAGGTTTCTTAAAATATGGAAAGTGTATATATTGAATAGGAAAAAAATGTTCACTGTAAAATTTAGAATGATCTCACTGTAAAATAAAATATGTATTGGGAATAGGCCTAAAAGGTTAGTAAAGTTTCCTAAAAAGTTAATAAAGGTTACCATAATAAACATAATAAAAGGTTAATAAAGAACATTTCAGGAATGGTATATGGAGTTTTCTGTATAGCCACCTTTCTGAATCAAGGGAAAAAAATCCCTTTTAATTATAAAAATGCTTTTCTAGTGCAGACAAGCTCACCATTACACATACCAATGCTTATATCGGATCAGAGAACTACCCTCCTGATGTATCATTTAGTGATATGAACATGATATATGGCATGAAAAAGCCTGAGTGTGAATCCTGTTAGCCATTCTGTCATGAGCAGATTCCCTATTTTGTCTTAGCCTCAGTTTTCTCATCTGTAAAATGGTAGTAATAGTTCCTAATGTATAAGGAATGTATAATGTATAAGGTTGTCATAAACTATATGAACGTAAGAGTACTTGCCTTTAGTAGGTTCCCAATAAATTTTAGTTTCTTATCTCCCTTCAGATGAATCATCATTGGCCATCAGATGAGTCACTATTGGCCACAAAGCTATTTCTTCTGCCCACCTTCATCAATGAAGGGAACATAATGGTCTCAGTTTTCAATGAGTAATGATCCTGTTCCACTTTGACATTTTCCTGTATTCATTCACTAAACATTCATGGAATGCCTACTGATTGCCATGGACCATGCAAGGTGCTAGAGATACAAAAATTACTAAGAATCCATTACTGTCCCATGGTATTCATATTCTACTTGGAGAAACAGAAAAACATAATTATGTCACTAACTTTATAAGTGATTTAAGGGGGAAAAAAGGTCCTTATGAAGTACCTCAAAGTAGGGAGAAAGTCCTGGAATCCATCCCGCCTGGAAGGATTGGAGAAGGCTTCATAAGGGGCTTTGGAGCAGGGTATTCAATGCTAAAAGTGCCTAGAAAGCTAATAATTTGTGGATATCAAAAAAATATTTTTGTGTTGCTAAAACTTCATACCAAAGTTATATGTGAAAAGCATCTCTATAAAACCTACAGGATTTCAGAGCTGGGAGAAGCTTTAGAAATTTCTGTTCCCAGAGAATCCTTTTGCAGATTCAGAAACTGAGTGTCAGGAACATTTGTTCAAAGTCACACAGCTTTTTAGTGGTAGAGTTGGGACTTAATCCAGGTGTCTGAGCTCCAATCTAATGTTCATTAGTTTATTCTTTCAACAAATGTTGATTGATTGATTGATTGATTATTATGTGCCGGACACGTTCTAGGCACAAAGGATATAGCAGCGGACAAAATGAACAAAGTTTCTGTCTTCCTGAGAGTGACTTTCCAGTCTGGGGAGACAAATAAACAAATATGAAATATGTCAGGTGGCAACAAGTGGTATGAGAACACGTGTAGCAGGATAAGGGTTTCGCTGCTTTGGAGAAGGTGGTGAGGAAGCTTTCCCGATAAGGTGACATTTGAGCGGAGACTGAAGGAATGAGGGTTCTAGGCAAAGGGAAGAGCTGGTGTCAGGGCTGTGAGGCAGGAATATGTGTGGCTGATTTGAGGACACAAGGAGGTTGGGTTGCTGGAGCAGAGTAAGTAATGAGAGTGGAGAGGTGGAAAGGGAGTCTGAGAGGTAGTTGGGTTGCAGATCAGGTAGCATTTTGCAGGCCATAGTAAGGACTTCACATTTTATTCTGAGTGAAAAAGGAAGCTGGATTCAGTCTACCAAATCACTCAAGGTTTAAAACAAACAAACAAGAAAAACATGGTGGTTGCGGTATTCCATTAAATAGTAAGGGCCCATACGTTCATATACTCACTGATATTTATTGGACATCGACTATATGCCAAACACTGTGCTAAATGTTTCAAATTCATGGTGTCCTGTATGGTGGGAAATATGTAAATGTGCATTCATTATTTCTGCATTTTTCTGACTGCAGAGCAGTGAAGCGGGACTCTTTTAGTCTTTCTGACAGATCACTTAGAAATTTTTCAGTATTTTTGCTTTGGATCATTTTCTGTTGTTCAGTTTTAATTTCTCTGTTTAAGCACAAAGGATTTTTGCCATAGCAGTACCCAAAACCTAAAAATCCTCTTGAATTGCAGTTTTGCCAGTGTCTGTATAAAAATAGGTCTGTGTAAGCTGATAGAATTAAAATTATTAGTGACATTTACATTTAAGTAATCATTGTAAGAAACAAAACTTGGAAGGTGAAGGGAGTTTGTAAGTGGTTTTTGTTATCA